ACGCGACGCCAAATCACATGATGTATCTCAGCCACATCTCAAGCACCTTTCCAATTTGTTATCACACATGAGATTCTACTAAATCTCCTTATTTAAGCCTTTTCTAAGCATTCCTATGCCTATCCACATAGAGAAGATGAGATAGCAATGTCGTAAGATCTACCACATAGAATCCTAGCGACCGCTGGCAGCCAACCTGAAACAGTACCTACAACCAGGACATGTTCAGGGGAGAACGCCCAATCAATCGTTCCGAAATGCTCCTCGCTGGATCATTACAGCGGCTCGCAGAGCACGTTTCGAGCAAGCACCTCTAACCATTTGTCGACCTAACCATGCGATGGCGTCTGGAGTAGCTATCGAAGAACAGACCTTACCGCGGTATCATCAGAGGAATTACTACCCCGTCAAAACTGGGGAGATATTCAAAGATCGTTACCAGATTATTGTAAAACTTGGATACGGTGCATATCCCACCGTCTGGCTTGCCTGGGACAAAAGGTTTGAAATCCCATTAATCTCTGAGAGATGTTACTAGCATTTACGCATTATGTAGGGTGAAGCAGTACACTTCACTCAAAGTGGGTGTTAGCCAAAATACCGACTCTTCCCCAGTTCTTAACGAGATCAATATGCTGCAGCGTTCCAAGCGATTCGCTGAGACCGATCAGCGGGACCTCCCTGGAGTGGGCTTTACTCGTCTTGCAGATGATATCTTTGAAATCGATAGGGCCCCATGTGGCAAACGACACTTCTGTATTGCCTCAAAACCCCAAGGCCAGAGTATTCGCGTGTTACAGGAGACGTTTCCAAATGCCATGCTACCTAAGCTTCTTTTGAAATCCATCGTACACCGCTTATGGTTTTCTATCAATTGGTTTCATTCAACCTGTGGTGTCATACATACTGGTAGGTTTTACTGTAGTGGTGGAGCCTTTAGTCACTACCTTACTCATGATACTTGAGCAGATATTTCACCTCAGAATGTCCTGATGCAACTTGAGGATGATAGCAGCCTCAAGGACATTGAGGACCAAGAGGCACTGAATCCTAGCATCCCCGTAATTACAACTGATGGAGTGGCTCCAGTTTACAGGTCTCGAACTACCAAGCTGGAGCTCTCAGGCCTCCCAGTCCTTACTGATTTCGGGCAAATGCGCCTTGCTGAAGGGCATATTAATCAGGATTGGTGGATGCCTGATTTATGTAGAGCCCCAGAGGTCCTTTTGGGCCTGCCTTGGGAAATCCGGTTGATGTGTGGTCCATTGGTGTCATGATCAGTACCAGTACTCAGTAGACATGGACCTATTATACTCCATCATAGTTATATCTAACTTAAATTATAAACACAACCAGACACTTGAACTCATGGAAGGGAAGAATTTATTCAGCCCCATTGACCCGGCTAACAACCAATATGTTCTTCCATTAGCCTTGGCACAGTATATTGGATTTCTGGGTCCTCCACCGCTGGAGGTGATTCGGAAAAGCCCACTCTTTTCGACCTATTTTGATGGATTTGGTAAATTCTTCCTTGATATTTACGCTACAGATGCAGTTAAGCTTATTCGAGATCTCTATGCAGGCGACTGGGTGTCTGAACCCCCCATCCCCGAAACCTCTTTTGAGAACTTTGTCACCTCGATCCCACCTTGCGAGGAAAAAGACCAGTTTCTCAGGTTCATACGGAAAATACTAACTTGGGATCCGGAAGTGAGGGCCAATTCGTATGAGCTCATATTCGATGAATGGATGATGAGGCCTCCTTCGGAGGATGATATGGTGTTTTAAGGAGCCAGATGGGTTATTGAGATGTGTATGTCTAAAAATATGTATAATATAGATCAATAATATCAGATCGTTTCAACTTGAGAATTCAACAGTTAACCCCTTTCCACCCCTTGTAAGCTTTTCTCATCACATTTTAATGGACACCAATTTGAGATCTTGAATTTATATTCATGGATTCCACGATTCGCAATTCGATATAGTATCTATTATTAGCGTTCCTGGTGTAATTGCTTTTTAAGAAAATCAAAGTTGCATGGCCAATCCCATTCCACTTCATTTGTGCCTTTCAACTCAAATGCCTTCGCGGACAAGAACAGCTCTGTATCTGATCTTTCCTTCCCTGAGATTTTTCATTGCATCCTCCGCGCCAGCTAGAGTCAAGGGGAACTGCATTGTGGTAGGTCCGATGCCCTTAGCTGCACAAAGCTTGAGCAGTTGATGCATACTCCGGCGTGAAGAAACCAGCGACCCTTGAATGCGAATTCCGTTTTGAAGCACAGGAAACAGTGGAATGGAGGATGGGTTGAGGTTGACTGTAATTGGGTATATGGTGCCTTGTTTATCCATCAAAGGGATGAGTCTAATTGAGGGATCGTCAGATAACGTTCAACAAATTCAGTGCAGCTGAAAGAATATTAAAAGGCAGTCCATACGAGTTAAAATCAACCCCAGCATTCCCACAGAGCAGGAGGTGCTTCAAGGGCTTCAAGCCCTCCATGGGCTGTCCCGCACGGAATACATGGTACTCGCTGGCACCGTAGTCCATAGCTTCCTGCCTCTTTGATTCGCTGCTCGACAAAACTACCACATGGCTACCAATGGCGGCAGCGAGCTTGATGGCCATGTGTCCGAGGCCTCCGACACCAAGGATCCCAACACGATCTGTTGGCCGCACTCCATATTCGGACAAGATGGTCCATACCGTTCCGCCAGCGCACATCAAGGGAGCGGCGTCAACTGAGTCAATACCATCAGGTATACGAAAGACACAGTCAGAGTTCCAGACAGCCCCATGGGCGAAAGTCCCAATATCGAAATCAGAGGTGCCATATTCTCTTTTCTTCTCGCAATACTGGTCCCAACCTGAACATCGTCTCATTAGACATTTCTGCCAGTACGAGCTTAGGGAACTTCTCTTCACAGGCTTATCTCACCTTCCAAGCAACTTGGGCAAAGTCCGCAGACCTTGCGGAAGTATCCGAGACCAACTCTATCTCCGACTTTCACATTGGTAACGCCAGACCCCGCCTGCCTCACAATCCCGATACCTTCATGACCCAGAACCTGGTCTGCATGCCTGTAATGCTCATCCGTGCCGCACACTCCGGTATGGGTTATCTCAACGTAGACCTCATTGGGCTGCAAAATCCGAGTTGTCCTAGCTGCAACTAGTTTCCCGTCCTTTGAGCCTTTGAGCACGTCGAAAGTGAAGCTCATGTTTAGTAAATTGCCGTTTACGGTCTTGAGGATCAAAGTTTTCGTCGTTATAGATGAATATATGGGAAGGAGAGGAGGATCAATCGATTTTGAAAACCGAAATAGCAGCCTTTTTACACTGAACAGCTTTCATTCAAGCCCAGGCTCTACCTCCCCATATATATATATATATATGGTACGACAACGATAAAACCATGGTCGGGTCGAGCAGAAAGATCTCGCAACGTCCTAGCTTTCTCAGCCCGTCTAAACTCAGAGGATCCCATTTTCCGGTGCGCGATACGAGATACTCCGTTATGAAAAGTGGGCTTTTGCTGGAAAAAAGCCATTGCTATTGGTAACGAGGAAATCCACAAATGCCGATTACTAACCACTGCACAGCAACAATGGGTGAGTCAGGCCTTGGCGGGAAGGCTATTTCAACATCTCTTGCCGACGAAAAAAGAGTTTGGACGAGCATCAAAAAGCTGGAGCAACTCCCGTTGGTAAATTTCCTCCAGCGCACTCGGTGAAGTGTGGAGTTCCTTCGCCTTGGTTAGTGCCATGCAATTGGCTGACTATCGCATTAACTAACTGGATAACTGTAGAAGGAATCCATGGATATGTGTGTGGGTCACGTGTGATAGGGCTTGTGTAGTAGCTCCAACAACGTTGGGGGATTGGATTGGGTGATTCGTATCCTCTATCACCACGGCGCTGGTGGTGATTGAGCTCTTTTGCCCTAGTGGCCTAATAAACAATAACTATGTCATCGTGACATCAGTCGGAGTCTCGGAGGCGAACCAAGATCGGGATCGAGAGGGGAAAACAATGGGACAAGCAATCAATGGTGGGGTATTTGGGAGTTAAGCAAATTAAATCTGCACATATGCTCGTAGATGATATAATATGAAATTCAAATGTCGAATCGTACTTGGGAAACCTTACAGGGCGGCATCGAGTATGCGTCCTGTATAAGTAGCGTTACGGGCAACAGCTTCTCGTATTCTCAAACCTCGATTCTTCTACAATCAACAGTCCCCTCCGCAAACCCGCACACAACTTGTTCAAAATGGCCCCAAAAGTGCTCTTCGTTCTCACATCGCAGGACAAAATCCCTGCCACTGGTAATCCTACCGGTTGGTACTTAGTATGGGCCCCTCTTTTCGGTACGCAATGTCATTCAATTCTGACATCTTTTTAACAGCCCGAATTAGCTCATCCCTACGAGGTTCTCAAGGGAAAGGTTGATCTCGTCATTGCCTCTCCAAAAGGAGGACCAGCCCCTCTAGATCCTGCATCTGTCACGGCCTTCGCCAGCGATGCTGTATCTTCCACTTTTCTCAAGGAAAACGAGAGTATCTGGCATAACACTGTGAAGCTCTCCGATATCAAATCCAACGATTTCGATGCCATCTTCTATGTTGGTGGTCACGGACGTAAGTCTTCCATACTTCCTTCGCAGCCTTCCTTTCGCTTTCCCTGTCTGTTTCGTCCGGTTTCATTCTCGACCTACAGGTTAACTAATATTGGTTTCCCAAATACTTAGCCCTATTTGATCTATATGAAGATGCAGACTCCCTCCGCCTAATTAAGGAATTTGCGGAAGCGCGGAAAGTTGTATCCGCCGTGTGCCATGGCCCTGCCGTCTTTCTAAAGGCAACCGCTGGTGGGAAGCCTGTACTTGCGGAAGCACAGGCGACCGGATTTTCGAACGAGGAGGAGGATCAGGTCAAAATGTCCCAATACCTGCCATATGCACTTGAAACCGAGATGAATAAAATATCAAATGGTGGATACGTAAAGGCTGATTTGCCTTGGGGGGAGAAAGTCGTCGTTGCCAAAGTTGCTGCGACTGGCGCTCCTTTGATCACTGGACAGAACCCAGCTAGTGCCACCGCGGTGGGGACGGAGATTCTGAAGAACCTGGGTTTATGAATTTTGCAAAATTTCCCATGATTCGGGAGTGTTGAAATGAAAACTTCATCATGCGTCAATGGCTCTACTTATTGGGTTATATCTAATCATGTAAATAAATAATAATTCGCGACTGAA